CTGCTGTATTTGGGAGCAGGTCGCCATCTGCAGGCGGTGAGGGGGAAACGCGTGTGGCTGAGAGCGTGGCTGGCGAGCGGGGGACTATGACGGTGGTGTGGGAATGCCGGGCGGCGTGGCGGCTCAGCGGTTAGCTGCCGGCTCGCACCTCCGCTCGGTGCGGGCGGTTTGCTCATTCGACCCAGGTGCCCCCCAGGTGCCCCCCAGGTGCCCCGGTTTTCCGCCACAGTCCGCAGGCTTGCAGTTAGGCTAATCGGTGTCTCTGTGATGGACTGGCATTCCATTCAGGGCGTATTCTAGCCTTATAATGCCCAGGATAGAATCCCGGCCCCTCCTAAAACCCCGACCAATGTCAGTGATGAGAAGATGGATCGACTGAAGTAACACAATTATAGCTTTGTGTTCCATGATCTCCATCCATCCATCCATCCATCCGTCATTTTCCATACCCACTTATCCCAATGCAAAGTCATGGTGGTCCGAAGCTTATCTTGGAAGCTATGGGTGCAAATAATTTTTTTTTTTTTTACAGTTTTCTTGACTTTTCTTGAATTTTTATTTTTTATTTTATTTTTTATTTTATTTTTTGCTTTAATTTATTGCATTTATGTTATATTTATTTTGTATTTCTCCATTGCTCAGAAATTAGAAATAGATGATTACATAGATCAGTTAAACAGTGTACAGACCTGTGCTGTGTCTGACAGTGTTTGTCTTTCTGCTCCTCTATGCGTGTGTGTAAACATGCCTGTGTGTGTTTAGGTGTCCTTCCCATGCTTGTCTGCCCGCATAAACACTCCCCGCTGACTGGCCCCTCCTGTCCCAGGCTGCTGGGCTCCGTAAACCCAGATGTTTTCCTTGCCTTGGGCTCGCTGGTGGGGTGGGCTGGGGGGGGGCCCGGGATCGGGGGGGCCCGTTTGCTGCCATCGCTGAGTGACTTTACATCCCTGACTTTCTGCTGGGTCAAACCTCAGCTGGGTCAGTAAAGCCCGGTCCATCACCCAGCACACCGTACCCAGCCTGTGTTCTTTGGATCCCATTAAACAGCCGCCTCCCCATTGCGGTTTCCATGACAGTGCTGGTGTGTGCATGGGCGTGCATGTCCCTGCGCGTGTGTGCGCACGCATGTGATGCTCTTACCCTACCAGCTGTTTCTGAGCTTGTTTACAGGTGCGGCCGGTCAGCATTTGCTTCATGCAGAGCCACGCGGCGTTTCTGCTCCAGCCTCATCCGACGTGGCTTTCAAATCCTGTGTGACCCCTCTGTGTTCCACTAGGGGGCAGTATTGGCTCTGTGACTAAATGCTTCCCCGTATTCTAAATACAACTGTTTATGTTGTGATGCATTAAGGAGTTGTACATTACAGGTAACTGAAAATCTAATCATTCATAAATATATTAAAGACATGGATATTGACACTGTGCTCTCAGTGTCATACAGAACAGAATATATTTGCTAATGGACCATTAGTGGTAATGATGATGAAGTTAATGATTGCTGTTATTCTGTGTGATGGAGGACCTCATTTTATTTATCAAATAAGATGATTTGATCTCCAGCGTACTTTGCATTTACCCCCTTCGGCCTGCAGTTTTTGATGTTTTGCTTGTGTTGGGTCATGACGGGTAGTTTCATTAGCTTTCCTTGAGCAGGCCGAGGTCAGAGGTTGTGTAAATCTCCAGCCCGCTACTCGTGTTCTCTTTAGCGCACCCTGCTGGCGCGTTTCGGGTGAGCGACCGTCTACGCGTGAAGAAAAGGCTTGGCAGATTACCACGTTTAGATCACAACCAGCTGCAAAATTTTTAAGTTGATTTATTCGAGCTCTTTCTATCCCAAAATAGATGTGCTTTTTTTCCCCCCAACCGAAATGCAAGTATCCAGGGACGCTGCGGAATGACTTTGCGGCATCTCTGCAAAGCTTTACCCCTGATTCTCCGTCTCCCTCAAACCAGGGAGCCGTGTTCTGTCTGCAACATTAATGTACTCGCAGGCCGTACACGTGAGGGATTATTTCTTTTACTGCTCGATTGTCAGGGGGCTTAATGGATTATTTTTAATTATGATTAAACAGCCGGAATAAGGATTAGCTGGATAAGGTGCTGAAATATAATTATTTACTGAGCAGTTAGGGAATGATTGACACGCAGATAAACTGAGTATGGCTGTTACTCTGACACGTTATTACAACCTGCTCAGTATTACATGGGAAATGTCCCCGTCGATGTGAGGGAGCCTCTGCCTGCTGTCACTCAGGGACAGAGCGGCCCGGCATAGATTAAGGGCCGCTTTAACTAGTGGGCTGGCTGCTTGGTTTATAACTAGTATCACCTGATAACCACGGATAATCCATCCATCAAGATGAGGTATCAGAGCAGTGGGTACTCTGTGATGGTGACACTTTATACTGGTTGGTTGAAACAAAATTTTGATTGGACCTGAACTACCTACCTCTGGTTATAACCAGCATGAATGTTTTTTGGGGAAAAATAGCCCTCTGTGATTCATGTAGTTGAGATAACACTGGTCACATCAGCCTACTCTGCAATAGCCTCTCAAAATGTGTCATCGTTAATGGCCATGAGGTGGCGCTCTCTGCGTCATGCAATGAGCGCTCGTGCAGCGGAGAGGAAGCCGGCCACGGGTTCGCCACCCCTGTGCCGTACGGCCTGATTAGGGGCCCCTTGCTTGGAGGAAAACAAATGTATTTATTTATTTATTTAAAGTTCAGGGTCTGGAGCATCGAGTCGGATGTGATTTGAGGGCTCCATACTAATCGCAAATTACAGCCCACCCATTACCGAGCGAGCATCAGAATGGGCATCCTGTCACGGCTTAATCCCCGAAGGCCTAATTAGCTAGCATGCTCCGCCGCCATAGCTCGTTAATTCCTACCCGAGACCTGGAAATATCTGGGAATCCAAATGTCAGAATGGGGAATCTGTTGACAGCTACTAATGAAATAGTTAAGAGGAATCTGGCAACTGTGGTAGCTCACGTGGACACCCTCGAGCTGAGGCTGCTAAAGGGAGCACCAGGTGTGAGTGGGGGCTCTTTCTGTGGCTGTGAAACACCCACGATGGGGGCTCTGTTCAAGGTCAGGGTCGTCCTGTAACGCTAATCAGAGTTTATATTTGCTATAGAATGTAGGAATAAGCAAAAATGGTGTATGTGCGTGTGTGTGTGTGTCTCAGATATACATTTCATTGTGGGGACATTTGGTGCTTTTATTTTGACATTGTGGGGAACATTTTTTGGTCCCCACAAGGGAGAATTCAATTTTATAAAAATCCGTGACTTGTATTTTGTTTGGTCACTTATGGTTAAGGCTAGGGTTGAGTAGGGATTAAGGTTGTCATAGTTAGATTAGATTTGCCCGTAGGAATGAATGGATGGACCCCACAAAGATATGAGTACAGGTCTGTGTGTGTTTTTGTCTTTTTGAGTGACACCGGTCTGTTTTTAGTTTTCAGGATTATTGGCACGCCTGCGTTTAAGGTGACAGGCTTTCTCCCAGTAGAGGTGGATTCTGTCTGACCTGAGGAAAGTGGCCACAGTCCAGTGACTCTGCATTTCAGGGGTGCTGGTGTTCCACACCCTCGTCCCCCCCACCTCCATCCATCACTGTCGCCGCCCTTATCTGCGGAGGGACAGCGAACTTGGCCGGGAGCCGCGCGGCCCGCGACGATAGCTGATGAAATATTGCTTCATTAGTCCACCCGGATAATGGCGTGTTTCTCCCTGAGAGGCTGTGCCTGAAACTATGTGCCTTCTTGCCGGTCTCCTGCCACCGGCAGTTCTGGGATTCCTCGGGACGAATTAAAGATGCACGGAACACTATCGCGCTGCACTTCCTCATTGTCTGTTTACGCCGCACGCTTCCACGTGTCTGGGAGACAGGATCGCTTAATCTTCTCTCTCAGGCCGGTCGTTCTCACGTCGCCGCGATTTCTGTGATGAATCACGCTTCAAGGTCCGCCGTATGTAAATGGGCTTCGGCTAGGCGGCCTCCCGGGACGATACCAGCACTCACCCGTAGAGCTGCTGGAAAAATAATGTGAAGGATCTTGGCAAATGAGAAGGATTAGACTCCACGGCTGAGTTATTGAGGGCCTCAGTGAAAGAGGCTGGGGCAGAGTGACACACAGAGACAAACAGTCATGTAGATCCAACACGTGTGGGGGAGCCACACAGACGCAAGGCCGTTTAACCTCCACACGTGTGCCTCACTGGGTCACAACCATTAGCTCTGTTGTGACAGCACAAAGCACAGCACTAATCTGCTAATAGGCGCCAATTAGGTCTTGAATGTGAGCCTGATGCCTCTGCAAGCCTTGTTGCGAACTTGTTTGTGGAGAATTCTTCACCTCATTTCTGGAAGCTCTCAATAGGCTTAACCCTAAATATGCTTAATCCGTCCATAAGGATCTTAGCTAAATCATTTTTGACACACGTAGCTGAGTTTTCTGTTCAGGTTAGCGGATCTGAAGAAAGAAGAGGTCTCGATCCCTGTGAAATTTCAGCTGGTCTTTGGCCTGGTTTGTTACTTTATTTAGTTTTTTTCCTCAGTATTATTGTGCATTTCTTAGAACCCTGATGTGACGACCCCTCACCTTAAATGTTTAAGTGAAATCTCTGAGATGGGAGGTGTGGCTGAATGAGCTGGGGGAAAAACATCTGCATAGAAAAACACCCCCTTGTTTCTGCAGTGAAAGGACGTGATGTCATAGATATCAGGTGACTGCCTTCAGCCCTCTTGATCCTGTTATAAGTAGTAAAGTTGAGACGTGATGGTGAGGCCCAGTCTGCTTTTGACACTGAGCACTTGCACACAATAGCACCAGGAAGGTGACGTCCATCCATCCATCTATCTGCCCATCAGTGAGGTTCCCACGGACTGCGGAATTGTGCTGCTGTTGGGTTCTGTTGCCTTGGGGTCAAAGAGCCCGGCTGTGCGTGGTCTCTCGGCTGACTCACCTGCCCCCACCCCCTCCCCCCCACAGCGAGAGAAGCTGATCCATGAGCTGGAGGAAGAGAGACGCCTGCGACGGGACACTGAGAAGCGTCTGCGTGAGGCGACGCAAGAGTCAGAGCTGGGCCAAGCACAGATGGAGGCGCTACAGCAGCACTTCTCCAGGTAGGAGGCCACACCCACTTTGGGGGGGGGGGGGTGTTTAACACACACACAGGGCACCGGCCACCACGAGGGGAGGGTCACATGCCCAAGAGGCCACCCACCATCATTTATTTGCACATTACTGACTCATTGGTTCAGAATGAGTAAATTTAGTTTGTCGTCAATGTGACTGAACACGTAGGGGGTTCAGTCTAAGTCCACAGGTTGTCATGGGGGGGGGGGAGGGGCAAACAAACGAACAAGGAAAACATTATATTTCCTGGGCTCCATTATTCTGTTGACCCTCTGCGGCTCACTGAGGTCACTCTGGGAACCTCTGTCGCTCTGACCATGGGCGAAGGACTCCTGCAGGATCTGACCTGTGTTACCAGCTCATCCATTCAGACAGACGTGCCAGTTAACATGAACGTGCCTTTCATGGTTTCACTCACCGTTAGCGATTGTTTTCCTGACTGATGGTGTATGATGCATCGCTAATAGCATGTAGGCATGCGCCCTAAAGCCCCTATACCTGAGTCTCTGTGTTAAATACCATTCTAGACTCTCAATATTTCAGTCCTGTGTACAATGCGAAATGTTTCCCCGTCACTTTTTAACCCCATCCCGCTCGCGGCGTGTGCGGGACTGTACGTCCCCCGTAAAGGTGTCTTCGGCGCGCCAAGCAGCCTTCCAACTCTGAAATTAAGATTCCTCCTTAATTTCCGTTCTGCTCAGCGAGGTGTGACATTAAGTAGGACAATATCCAAGTCAGCTGAAAAGTCACGGCCGCTTTGTGGCTGACGTGTAATTAAAAGATAGCAATTCAGGACGCTGACTGTGACAATCATCCACAGAGCACTTTCATTCTTCCTGAAAGATTAGTAATTACGGACACTTTAAAAAGTTTTAATTTTCTCCCTGTGTTTTTGAGAACTCTTCACGTCCATGTGATTTCTCAAGAAGGAGTAGAGTAATTAACGGTACCAAGCAACACCTGTCGCGTGTGGCTCGCATATGCGGCGTCCTCAGATGGATTCACACGTGTTGTTTGCTTGTTGGTGTCTCCTTATCTCCCATCCTTCTGCACCATTTACCTCAGGAGCTGCACTCACTATAACAGCTTGTTACACATTCACAGGTCGAGAATCTGTTTTTAAATCTCCACTCTAAGGGTCTAGTCCACCCTTAGAAGGCATAGAAAGTTCAGTGCTTCATTAAAACTAACGATTATCTGGCTGCATTTTGGTAAAAAGGCATCGCTGACTCAGGTGGTCAAAAACAGCAAAATAACTTTCCCTGTAGCAGTAATAGAGCTAAATTATGAGTCTCAATACTTTTTTTACTCATTTTTTTTTTTTTTTGTGGCTTATTGTCACATTGTCTCATTGTTTTTAGTGCTGAATCCATCTGCCGCTGGCTGATGTATATGTCTATATGCAGAGGTGGAGATTTCAGGTCAGAGAGTATAAATCCCGAGTATAAAACCAGGATTTTGTTTCAACCAACCGATTGAGTACTCTGTGACTCTTTATACTCAACTGGTCGGTTGAAACAAAATCCTGGTCTGGATTTGTACTCTCTGGACCTGAAATCTCCACCTCTGTCTATATGAAATCTCAGTAATATAGGTCTGTATGTGGAGTGTAGGTCATTGGAAATATAGGGAGCTGTGATAATTCTCTCTGCTCTAACTGTATCATTAGCCTTTTGTACTTGTATTAGATTCCTGAGTGCAAGTAACCTGCTACCAGACTTTGGTGAATGTTTGCTGACTGTCCCTGTTAATAGGTTTGCTTAAGTCGGGACACGTTTGTAATCTTCTGCTCTATTAATGCCTTGGATTCACTCTTCTGCTGTTAAAGTGAGAAGTTCACTTTGAAATACGTATTTGAAATAACATATATATACTTGAATAGATTATATTGCAAGAAGAGTGTCATAAAGACTTGCGAGGTTGCTGAGCTACAGGAAGAAGACCAGCCTAAATGTTTCCCTCTGACATATGCTTTATTGATCAACCATCTGTCCTGAACATTTGAATATTTTTGGTTTTTGGTTATCTTGAACGTATCTTATTTTGTGCAGAGTAATGCCTTTAAAAATGAGTGCTTTATGAGTACTCTTTGCCTGTACTGCTTTTCTTTGAGTACTCAGATTTCCTCTCACAGTCCAAAAACATGGCATTTAGTGGATGGGAGACTAAACTGCCCGAAGTATGTGTGTCGATTAAAAATGAGCAGGACGTTGCCTTACTGAAGCTTGGCCCATATGCACTCAGTCATTCTGCTAGCAGATCCAAACACGTGGTTCTTTTCCATCAACAGGACCTGAACGTCGTGCTTACCCACCATTGCTGTCTAATTAAAAAGCTCTCAGAGCAGTCAGATAGCGCTACTGCTTTTCTTTTTCCAACTTACATGTGGTGCAGGCTTTGACAAAAGGAAGAAAAGTGTTTAGGCATTGGCTTCCAAGGGAGATGGTGTCTGTGAAAGCTCACTCAACTTCGCAGGTAACGTGAGGGTGTGAGACCCGCTGGTCCGCATGACGGATGCCGCGTGTGCGTCAGGCCCAGGGTGATGTTCTCCTGAAGGAGGCCAGGGATCTCTCCTCCTCCAGGGTGTCCAGAGTAACTGTGCAGATGTAGAATACCTGCCATTCTGCGTGCTGGAGACGTCGTCGTCTTTGCATGTGTCTGAACACGGAGGCTTTGTGGAGGGGTGGGGTGGGGCGGGGGGGGGGGGCGATACAGCAGCCTCAGGGTTACTCTGCTTTTTACAAAGGAACTAAAGGTTTAGTATACTCCATCCATCCATCTTCCATGGCAGAGTTCCTGGACAGGGGGTGGGGAATTCTATTAATTGAATTGTATTCATTAATTGCTACATTTCAGCTTTAAATGCAGCCTCGCACTGGCTGTGTGCTGTGTACAGTGTCAAGCTTCTGGAGGAGTAATGAGAATGGCTTCCTCCAGAGAGATAACGAGCGTCTAATTAAGCACGATCTAAGCGGTCTTGAGCAATCCCGCTGGAGGTGACGTAAGCTGAGCCCATCGGATGGTTCTGGAATGGAGTCCGGGAAAGCCCCCAAGATTCCCTGAGGGCGGGGGTGCGTGAGGATCGGCAGTGCGGCCCAGCTGCCCCCAGAGGCCGGGCACGCCTGCCGTCGCCTTCCCGCCAGACGTGTCCCAGTGTGAGCCCCTCCCCCCCCTTTTTACCAAATGGGCCGAGGGCCATGTGACTTGCAGCTGCGTCAGGATTTATCGGTGCCTGTTGTTTAATGTGCCATTAGCACAAATACACTGGTATGCTTCTTTTTGCGTAACCCAGCTTGCTTTCCTTTGAGACACACACACACACACATACACACACACACACACACACACACACACATAAATAGAGCTGAGGGCAGAGCTTGGGCTCCAATCGCAGGGTCAGGCCATTTATCTGGCATCCCTGGGGAATTCCTGGGGTTTAAGAGCACTTGCAACAGTGATGTCACTCTTCTGCCGAGGACTGGGTTCAAACCAACAACCTTCTGATCATAGACATAGAGGTGCAACCCACTGAGCCAGTCTACAGCTATGGTGTAGGCCTGTCCAATCAGAGCATAGGGGTGGAGTGGAAGCATCCAGCTTCGGATGTTTGGACCTCAGTGCTGCTTCAGGGTCCGTGATACAGGGAGAGGATCCCACTAGGGATGGCGCCTGCGTGGTGCGAGGCCCGCTGTGGGGCTGCTCCCCCCAGGGCGGCTGTGATGGAGCTCCGCTGTGGGGCTGCTCCCCTGAGGGCGGCTGTGATGGAGCTCCGCTGTGGGGCTGCTCCCCTGAGGGCGGCTGTGATGGACCTCCGCTGTGGGGCGGCTCCCCTGAGGGCGGCTGTGATGGAGCTCCGCTGTGGGGCCTGCAGGGCAGCCATGTCACACTGAAGATGGGGGAAGCTGTCAGCCAGTGCAGAGCCAAGCAGCATTTGTACCCTAATTCTGCCCCCTGCTGGGTTCCATGTGGCACTGACAACTGGATCCAGGGGAAATTTTTTGGGATTTTTTTGTCCAATTTTGCACTTAAAGGGGTTATTATTGGCTATCCTTCTCCAGCTGACGGAGAAGTGGATTGTGTTACTGACAGATTTGCAGACTCCTTGCTAAAAGACACACTGTTTGTGAAATTGCTTATGAGGAATATGAACTGACCTGTGCTGACAATGAAGATGAAGTTTTTTTGTGCATCGCATTTAATGCAGGAGATTCCTGCACGTAACTCATCTATATGTTGGTTGAAATGTGCAGCATTTTCAAATTCCTGATTTTCACGATGCAGTGCTGGCTCCGCCCCCCCCCCCCCCCCCCCCCTCCCGGAGATGACTCCCGTCCTTCCATCTTGGCCGACATGCTCCTGTCCCTGTTGAGTGAAACACACCTCCTGGCTCCCTCCCTCTGTGGCAATCCTTCACACCCCCCCCAGCAGAAGCACTATAATTGGGCCAGTACCTCACTGTCAGCTGCGGAGTCTGTTTGTCTGCTACCGGGGCTCCCAAATCTCCCTCCGCGTCCTGCGGAGTGGGCCGGTCCCTGGTGCTCGGGGACCGGCTGGCTTCCGGCCGGCCGGCGGCGGTTGCCTGTGCTCTCCACCTCGCTTCCGTTAGCCTCCTGCTCTGCTCCCATTTCCCAGCCTTATTATTAGTCAGAAGGCGGCAGCCCAGTGCCCTTTGCATCTCTGAATATTTAACTGTCAGGTAGTTGAAGGTCAGTAATTAGCACCGCCATGCCTGCCAGTAGCCATAAACATACATTAGATCAGGAAAAGTCCTGTTGATGTCGGACACCTTGATGTTTCTTGTTTATGTATCATTTGGGGCCCGCATGGTTGGGTTTGGCCCGAAGGTACCGATCGGTGATGGCGTCTCTTATTAAGCCGACCCAGAAATGATGTGTGGATCCCTGTTGGGTTTGGCACTGCCTGGACCTCAGAACCTCTGTTCTGTAATGTTGGAGCTGTAATATCTGGTCGTAATGTCTTTTCTATT